CTAGGGACAACCTATAGTTATCGCCCACACCAGGTCCTTTACAAATATGACAACACTAAATAGTACCTTAAGCAACGGGCCTTTGATAAAGGACAAAGTTTTTTTAGACCGCGACACGAGGGAGTTTTTTAGGCGTTAAGTTTCTCAATGATATGCACGACATACTAGGCCTATTAAGCACAATGTCTTTTTTAAAAGGAATTACATGATTTATTCCTGTCAGATGAAACCACAAGTCTCCCAGGTGAGGTTATATGTAGCCAGACTGATGAAACCATAAGTCCCTCAGGCGAGGCGCTAGACCTCTCGGACGAGACTTCTATTAAGCCCTTAGACAAGACTTCTGATTAAGTACTCTCTTAGGCTAGACTTTGATCGCACCTCTTGAGTGTGATTTCTATGTCTGATCCCACATAAGGAAACCTTAAGTTCTTTAAGCGATATTTTAATTATCCTGGGAGAAGGATGGATGGCGAGGCGATGTCTCACTACTTTGGTATCTATCTCAGGAATATCAAAGAGAGCCAAAGCTAACAAATCAAAATTATTAATGAGTTGATCGACTAACTCACATTCTTCCCCCTCATAAAGTGAAATTATTATCTTTGTAATATGATGGGCGAAAGGGCCTATTTGGACCTTTTTCAAGTCCTTTGTAGGCGCGAGCCTTTCCGCTTCCACGTATAATTTGGGGTACTAACACTCGAAGTCAATATTTGGAACTTCAGAATAAGGGGAACCAATAAGGGCGAGCTCTTCCCTATTTGTCGCCAAGCTACTTTGGTAACACTCTTGAGTAATCTATTGGTCTCCTCGAATTGTACAGACTAACCCTCCAGATATTGGATATGTTAGGACTAAATACATGGTGGAAATGACCGCCCCTAGCGTGTTGATGACATGTCGCGCAAGGAAGATGTTCTGCACCCTCGCCACATGCAGTCTCAAGGTCACATGACCCATTACTTGTACTTGTTCACCTGACAATCATGTTAACAAGCCGCTAAACATTTTAACATCGTTAGGGTCGAACTGTAGTTTTTAGAAGGCGTCCCAAAATAGGACGTCATAAGAGCTACCATGATTTATCAATTCCCGTTTGATATCCCATTTTCCATGTTACATAATGATAACTAGGGGATCATTTTCATAATGATTGACTATGAGGGCGTCCTTCTTGAAAAAAGGTGATATTAATAGGGATGGTAAAAAATCTGTATCTGCAGATAAAATCCATGGATAAAATAAACGAATATTTAAGTACATGTTTGTTAATGGATACAAATGAAGGTTTGATGATACTCGTGCCAATAAATATTCTTATCGTTAAAAAAATTATAAAAATTATTCAAATATCATTAGTTTATCACACCCCGTCTTTTTATCTTTTTTAAAAAGTTAGTCTTCTTATATTTCTTTCTTTTTTTTTTATAAATTTTATTTGAAAAAAATATTTCATATTCCATAAAAATTCTATTTGGCCATTTCATATTTAACCTTTTTCGATACTACATACCTCACTTTAACAACTCAACTGTCCAACCAACCAATACAACCCTTCCCCTGTCCAACTAGTGCCTCCCTTCCTACTCTTCCGTCGTCCACTCTTTCACCATAATTCACAATAACAATATCTTTTATTTTTTTTTAGTTAAAAAATATTTGGATATTATGTTTGCATGTTATTATATTTTGGTGAAAAGGAAGGAAGTTAATGTGATGAAACTTTTGTTGTTAAATTGAGAGCGAATTATACGAATGTTACATGATAATAACATTTTGTGCCTTTAAAAGAAGTTGAAAATAATTATAAAAAAATGGTTTCCATGAATATCTATAAATATTCATAGCTACCTTACAACCCACAGATTATTCGCTTAGTGGATACCCGCACAAATATGGGACGAATGCATATATCATATTTATCCAACGCACGTAAACATATATAATAACATTCATCCCCATAGATATCCATTTACATCCCTAGACGTTAATCCTTGTTTTGCGTCACACTCTTAGGAAAACCAGGAGATATTACATTTGCTGCAAACACCAACCTTGCGTATTTTCTTCGGGAGGAGTTAGAGCTACCTCCACTAGGAAAACCTCTGTCAATAGTGTTTTGTGTTGGAATATTGAGTCTTGTCAGCTATCTCGGAGGGAATATGGAAGGAGTTAGGGAAAGAAGGTATGATCCAAGTTAGTTATACTGGAGCTCTATAGTGGACGCCATTGTACTAGTCAAAAAGTACATGCGTGTGTGTTAGCCATGCAATTGCAAGGGTATCCATAGGCCTTAATAGGTATATTACGTTGTATGGTGGTTAGAGCTTGCACACAGCGACAAGAAGTCCTGTACAACGGTGTTTTGTGGTGGTTTATAGGATCTGCTCACGTGAGGTAAGAGACTCTGTACGAAGTGGTGTGCTTAGGTATAAATGTATTAGGGCGTGATCTGTATGGGTTAAGATTTGTCCCTTTCTCCTGTCAGAGAAGATGTATATATAGAGGATTTAGGCTTAAGATTTTCTTGAAAAATGTCATTGCTCACCTAATCAATGATGGATATTTGAATCACTATTTTCAAGGGAGACATTGATTAACAATGACCTTAACTTATCTCTCTATCCAAAAAAACATCATATCTCATATTTTTAACGACCGAGCGATAAGAAAGTTTTGGAACAAGACAATATCTTCTTTAAGACGACATGTGAGGAGACTTATAATCTTGTCCTATGATCCTTTAAAATATAATACTACAAGATATAAAAATATATTAAATAAAAGTGAAATAAATATATATATTTTACCATAATACCATTATTAAAGGATATCATTGCAAAATAAATTAACGTTATAAGCAATTAATTTTAAAAGACTTTTTCTGATATAATATATGACATGTGGGAAGTGAGTAACTTTTTATATTTTACCCATTGAGGTAAATGAAAGAACATTTTTCCTAATGATGTGGCGCAAACCAAACCAAACCTCACGTGCTCACCGTTAAGATATTTTCTTTTCATTTTTATCTATTGCAAACCAATCGCTGACGAGTCTTTCGTACCGAAAGTATCTTCACGCGCTCCATTGGGACGTAGGATATGAAGTGGCTATTTCCTCCATAACCAATAGAGGGTGCTAACCGCATCCGTTTGTCACCGTTCACTCCCACAAATCCAATCAACCTCGCTTTGCCGGCGACGGAGTTCTCAATTCTATAACTTCCCATCGAATCTCCATCTTTCAGGTAACAATTCGATTATTCACTACACAATCGATTTTGTGAAACTATCCGTTGTTATTTTATTCCCTTTGCTTCTGTTTCCCCTTTTTCGTGGATGCTTCCTGTCGATTTCGTTCATTTTTTTTTGGTTGGAACCTAATTCTCCCAATAAAATGGTTTTTGTTGCTATTTGGTGGTTAATTCAATTGAATTTGAGTGTTTAAATTATGCATGTATTTAGGTATATCAGGTGAAGGTTTGATCATGGAGTGTGAATTTCTTTCTCATGTTTTTATTTATTTATTTATTTTTCATTTTCATTTTTTTTTTGGTATGTTTATTTATTTTTGGAAGAGTTACAAGCTAATGATAAGTAGTTGATTATCAGTTTATTTATTTATTTTGCTTTATTGAAAATAATGAGGGAAGCCATAACATGGTGTTTTGCTCTCTGTAGCACCAACACCGATACTGTTGTCCGGGTCGGTCTACACCCTGATTAAGTTTATTTTATTTATTTATTTTAATTATTAGTGTGTCGACGTATAAGTGTCTGTGCTTAGGTTTTGCTTCATCCACACAAAAAAATGTTTTGCTTCCTCATATGCGTTTGAACTGTTTGAAAATAATAACTGAATCACTGAAAATGGGTAAAGTGTAAAATAGTGGAAATATTGTTTATCATGTATGGTTATTGTGAATGATATATATTTTTAGTGAAGCTTCATGTTTAGTGTTTAGGTGGGAGATAATGTGTTTTATGATTAGCCTTTTGCAATTTTCGTATTGTTCTTCGTAAACTTCGTAGTTAGAAGTTTCGATGGGATGTTGATTGTGAATGGTGTAATTTTTCTATGTATGTTTTGATGGGTTGTGATTGTTTAGACTTTGGTTCATATTGCATGATGATAGTGAGGAACAAGAACGATATTCAGGTTGGGGTTATCATAAAGGATCATCAATCATGATACTAAAAATTTCTCTAGATCTCTTCTTTAACATTTCAAGTTGTGATGCTTAGATGCTGTGCATTTATTTTATTGTTATTATTATTTTGAATGCTGTAACATTCTGGAGATGCCGAGTTACGAGTTATTCTTGTATCGTGTATCAAAGTGTTGTAACTTATTATGTCACGTATAAGTGTACAAATGTATTGTAAACTAGTACTCTGTGGCCTGTAATCCATTAGCTCAATGTGAGTCTTTGTTTTTAAATTAATGATGCATAATATTTTTTTATTCACGAAATGCATAATTGTGAACATTATGATGTTTTTCATATATCTGAATGCGCTAACCACTTATGTGAAATAAAGAAATTGTTACGTATCTCCAAAACTAAACTGCAATGCATGGCTCTGTATATCTACCTTATATGTATGCAACTTTGAGGTTTGTGATCAACAGCTATAATGCTTTTAAGTTTTTACAAAATTAACATGTTCATTCTTTCATGTTTAACCTTGTCATTCTATTTATATAAGTTTTACTTTCATGATGGGATTTTATGATCTTTTGAAGAAACATTCTCACAAGCGAGTTTCCTCCTTTTGGTTAGCTTTTGATACTTAAGACTAAACAGTCATTTTTCTTTTTCAAGTGTGCCGATTGATGACAACTTGTCTGGTTTGGGCATCAAGAACAAAACTTGACCTCTATAGTATTTTGCTGGTGAGCATTACCATCTGTGAGATTGCGAATCTCAGCTTTTATTAGTTGACTAGATAGCTGATACCTTTACCTTTTTCAATTAACAACTTAGGAAAATAATGGAAGCCCGTCCCGCTTTCTCAATTGAAAGATCAAGTGCCCAACAGCTGAATAACATAGGAATGTCTGGAGCTCTTCCTTCATCGATGTCTATCCATCCAACACCTCTAGATGAGACATACCCCAGATTATCTGATTCGCAGCTGGCTTTTGTGGAAAAAGATCTTAAGACAAGAACTTTTAATCATTCAAGTCATATAAGTTCCAGTGGAGCAGTTGGGCATATGTTTTCATCTTCCCCTGGATATTCAACAGACCTTCATCACTCATCCCTTTCACCTCATGAAAAACCCTCTAGAAATGCTCATTTTGTTGCACAGCCATTGAGTAGCGTGGCTCCAATGCCATTACCGTATTCTTCAAATAATGGACCAGTACCTTCTACCACATCAACACCTTATTCCAATGGTAACAGTGCTTCATGGCATGCAGATTCCTTGCCTAGCTTTCTTGATTTCTCAGTGAATGCCTCAATTAATAATAATCCATTAGAGAGCAGTGACTGCAATATTATGGCTACTGAGGAGTTTTCTAAGCGAAATGATTGGCAGGAGTGGGCTGACCAGCTAATCAGTGACGACGATACTTTGACTTCTAATTGGAATGATATTCTTGCTGATAATATTCAAGATCTTGAGCCAAAGGTTACAGTTTTCATTACTCAAATCAGTATTAGCTTGTCGAGTAAATAATTAGCAATTTATTTAAGGAACATGTTGGGAACTCATTTTGTTTCTTTAGGCGGTGGATCCCATTTCAAAGTCATCTTCACAATTTTCGGCAGGACACCAATCCCAAGGCCATCAACAACTTCCAGCTCTATCTGGAGAAAACCATGTTGGTGTTGCTCCATCTTCCTCAACAAATTCTGCATCTGCCAAGCCACGGATGCGTTGGACTCCTGAGCTTCACGAGGCATTTGTGGAGGCTGTCAGCCAACTTGGTGGAAGTGAAAGTATGTCCATCGCTCTTTCAATCTCCCAAGCATGGTCTTAATTGGTTAAACTTCTGCCTCAATTATTTTTACTTTTTTCCCCCTACAGGAGCTACCCCTAAGGGTGTGCTGAAGCTCATGAAAGTTGAAGGACTAACTATATATCATGTTAAAAGCCACTTACAAGTATGTATTGTTTGCTTTATCTTTCAAGGTTTGTTTTGTTGAGTGCTTATATTGAAATATGTTGCTCCGTGAAATGCAGAAATACAGGACAGCTAGATATAGACCAGAGTCATCTGAAGGTACATAAGATATGTTTTGTATATTATATGTGCCTCCTCGTAGAAAGGAAAAAATGTCTGAAGAAAATAGATAACCAATTATAGGATTTAGGATGAGGAGTCTGTTGGCTATTAAATAACTTATTTTAGTAAGAACAATGACCTGCAAAATTTACGGTAGAATTAAAAGCGTTTACGAAGTAGATGGTTCTTGTCAAATTTCCTTTTAATTGGAAACTTGCTTTGTTCCATATCGAGAAACATGGAATTTATGTCAAGTATGCTTTTCGAACACAAGAACGGAAAGTCACCTATGTAAGAAGTCATTGAATGATGCAACTGTGTGAAGTCTTAAATTGTTGTCTATGGCGCTTAACCATTTGTTTACAATATTTTGGTTATCTGTTTTCTTCAGACATTTTTCCCCTTCTTTGTCCCTCCCCCGTGCTCATGTAAGAGGAAACCATTTAAGATGCAAGTTTCCATTGAATTTTTCCTATTTCTGTGTAATTAGTTGTGAAACTGCTAAATTTAAATAATCTTTTTATATGAAATCCAAAGAGAATAAAAGATTTTGAATTTTCAAATAATTAATTATTAATTGCAACTTCCTTTTATTGTAATTTTTTATTAGATTTGCAGATTGGAGATATTATGAGACCTAACTGTGAACTATGTTAATGATCTGGTTTTCTGCATTTGATGTCTATAAGTAGTGTCTTTATTATCTTTCTTGAAATATAGAGTAATGCTCCATCTTTGTATAATCGCACGATGTACAATTTGTTGAATACTGTTGGCAGGAGTTGGAGAGAAAAACGTAAGCCCCATTGAAGATATTTCATCTCTTGATTTGAAAACGTAAGTAAACTATCCACTTCAATTTGAAGTTAACTTTTTTTTTTGTTATGTATTGTTGTATTTCAAAGACTATTGATACATCAATTTTTTAGACAACTTTTTGGTTCTCTAATATATATGACTTTGCTAATACAAATATTCTCCACATTTTAAAATATTTGAATTTGACTTCTTAAAAGGAGGAGATGCATTTTAGAGGGTGAAATGCAGAGTGATAACTGTTGATTAGAAATCAATAAGAGGCTGTGATAAAATATGTGTGTAAAGAAACAATGAAGTTGTCAAAAGTCTACCATTAATTTTCCAATCAACGGTTACATTTTGCAATAGTAGGTAAAATATTAGGTTGTTGGGTTAGAGTAAATTGCACCCCACTTTAGAGGAGTCAAATCCTAAATATTTTATATGTTGCTCCTGAGCTTTTACCAACATCTATCTAATCAATCTAAAGGTATAGGAGAATGTGGCTTTTGAAACTTGAAATTTGGATACTGAGTCTTAGAACTTGGGTTGGGCCTAACTCATCCCTACAAAACTGTCTTATAAGTTGAGGATAACCCCCACTTATAAACACAACAAAGACCATATCTATAAGCAATGTGAGACTAAATCCACGCCTTCAAACCCAACAGAATGAAGGTGTTAGAGGCTGCAATGAAGGCAAGCCAAATGCTTCAGTTTAGACGACTAGGGGCAGACTGCAATGAAGACAGAAATTCCAAAAATAGGAAATTTTACCCACTATCTTACCAACTCTGGATCAGTGGGTATCCAGGGTCAAGAAGAAAACCATCTTACAATGGTATCTTCTATAGGAATTGAAGAGCCCGAACTGTGCCATCCCGAATCTAATAACCAACTGACTGCCTTCTTTTACATTCTGTGTGTCTATTTATAAAGGGATAACTGGTTAACAACTCTAACAGCTATCTTGAGAAAGCTTGCTCTAACTAAAACTGTGTAACTAATTCATTGACCAATCTGACGTGTCCTTTCCAAGTTGAGGCCTGTTCTTAGTAATTATGCATATATCATCTCTTAATCTGATAGATTACAGAAACAAAAATTATGGATATCTTCAAGATTGAGTATTATGAATAAAATGCTAGAAAAATAGGAAGGTATTTTTTTGAGAGAAATGCATCAGTGCAGATTTAATATTTAATGTCTCTATGCAAGCTTTTGGTCATATTTCATACACAGTCATGCACAGGTATGCACAGTGATTGGCATGCTAATTTTACCTTTGCATTGTTGACAGTGGTATTGAGATCACAGAAGCTCTACGACTGCAAATGGAGGTTCAGAAACGGTTGCATGAACAGCTTGAGGTTTGAATTTTATTCCTTTTGTGAATTTCCTTATGATATGCTCATTTTATTGTTAAAAGATCCGAAGTGTGATTTGAAGACTTGTAAACAAGCTCTATTTTTGTTGCGATTGCCATGACATTAGAAATCATCTATAACTTAATGGAATTAGTACAATAAACTTTTTTTTAGGATTTACTGGGATTTGTGCGTCAATTGGTGTTTATGAGCTAAGTGAAGAAATTCAAGGAAATTGGAATGTAACTTGCCTATAAAGGAAGTAGTTAATATTGTTCACTGTTCCTCTCGTTTTCTGTTCTTTTGTTCAGTTTTTGATAAAAATTGGATAGTTGTCTAAATAGAGTGTCTTAGTGTCATGATTACGCTCTCTATGGCCCACATGGAGTGACATTTATGGTATGTTTGGTACATTAGAAAGTTGAAGAAAAGATAGTGTGAGGATAGAAGGCACACAAATAAAAATATGTTCCACCGTTCCGTTTATCAAAACAATGAAAAAGGATGGAAAGTTGCGTGGGACCCACCTAAAATATGTTTCAGTCCAGGCGTGTCCACTATTGAGCGGAAAGGGAAGGAAACTTTATTCTTTATTTTCTTACACTATCACCAATACCAGACTAGATCATTGTTTTATTTTCCTCTTACTTTTTACTTTCGTTCCTTCAAACATTTTTACCTTACTTTCTTAGCAGACTAAATGCATGGGAGATTAGAATGATTTGAGAGTGATGCACATTGCATTTATGTGGAGGCGAAACTGAAATAAAAGATTCATTGAAAGAATAAAATGTCACTTAATCAATATTAAAGAGTGGTGGCGTAGCACCTATAATAGAAAAAGGTGGTGGAAAATAGACTCAAGTGGTTTGGGCAATGGGCATGTAAAGAGAATACCGGTAGATTTTGTGATAAGGAGAATAAATCAAATGAAGAGAAGCTAAATAGCTAGAGGTAGAGGAAGACCTAGAAAAACTGTAAGAGAAGTTATTAAGAAAAACTTTGAGATTAACGATTTGGAGAGAAGTATGGTCACGGATAGAACATTGTGGCGGAAGTTTATCCATGTAGCCGACCCCACTTAGTGGGATAAAACTTGGTTGTTGTTGTTGTTGTATAGGTTTAACATGCATTGCAAAAATAAAATGTGAACATCTTTGCAGTCATAAGTTAGTTTCATGTATCATTGTAGATACTTGTGGTACCTTTTAAGAAAGGAAGAATTCATTGAGAAACAAGAAATAAAAAACAGGAGGATCGTGAATCCTCCAAAATCTACAAGGCAACAGCTGTTGAAGGAAAAAATAATCAACTTGTTATAGAAAACCTAGCCCCTTTGCAAATATGATTCAAAAACACCTTAAAATCACAAGGAGAGAACCACAGAGAGACTTAAAACCATGCCTCCATGAAAAAAAAGATACTGACAACCTTTTGTCCTGGCTACTCCCAAAAACTTCATATCCTATTAATCAGGTGGTCATATTCAACAGTCTCAGAATTTACACCAAAGTTGACAAGCTACCTCACAAAGCAAAAGTAGGTGATATTAATTCTCTTTGTGCAATTGTCCATTGAAATTCGATTGTTTCTCTTTGCTGTGGAGTATGGATTAGAAATCATATACTAACCATTCAAAAAACATGTCAATTTATAGGCGATGCCCGTTTTTTATTTGTAAAAGAATCTATCCTCTTTAAAACTTGAATTGTATACTTTTTTTCTCTTGAAATTCAACCATTTGTCTATTGATTAGAATTTAGTTGTTTCTTCTTGGGTCATGGAACTAGTTTCCGTAATATTATTTGACATGTACCTTTATGCATAAGGCATTTAGGGTTATGTTGCTTCTGTCATATATAACATACATGAACTATCCAAGGCATTTCACATTTTTCCCTTATAGTTGTCATGCTTTCATAATATTATTTGTCATGTTTTTTTTTTTTTTTTCCGTGTTCTAATACTCCCCATTTTTGTGTTAGATTCAAAGAAATCTACAGCTGCGAATAGAAGAGCAAGGCAGGTACCTCCAGATGATGTTCGAGAAACAGTGCAAATCTGGTGTTGAACCTTTTAAGGCATCATCGTCGGCCATTGAGAATCCATCTGGAGTGTCTTCTGATACCATAAAGGATCCTTTTACCAAAAATGAATTGGAAGCATCTAAAACCGACCATTGCAAGTCAGGATCTGATAAAGCTAATGGTAGTACCACAGTTGAGGATAGCTCTCCGGAAGCAGGTCGGAAGCAGGATACCTCCAAAGCCCAAGCTTCTGAAGATCTTAAGCAAAATGATAATGAAGACAGCCATCAAGCCCCTAAGCGGCCAAGGACAGATGAGTAAACCTTATGATCCGCCGAATCAGCATTGAACTGACAAGACAATACTGATTCATTTGAGATATAATTTTAGAAAGGAAGACTTGATTGATTAATGCCTAGAGCTCTATAAATTAACGTGTTCCTCATTTCCTGTTGTGTTCAATGAGGACTTGTATGTTTACCTTTCATTTAGTTAAGTCAAAGTTTTGACCATGACATTCTTCTACACCCTATCTTATTTGCAATCCTGGTTAGGATGAGATTCGATTGTACAGTGCAGATAATGGCTACATCTTATCTTATCAGGACAGTATCTTATCAACTTCCTACAACCCAAATTTCAATGTTGGTATGTACTACATTTCTAATGTGAACGGTTTGTTTTAACTGTACCAATTTTTTTTAATAAAAAAGGTACAATTCTAGTTTTCAAGTTAGTTTTTCTCACCAATGATGGCGTGAAAGGCATACTATGAAGGTTAGTAGTTAGTATCTCTATTTCTAATTCCACTTAAAAGGGTGTGTTTTCAATTCAATCTTTTATTTGATTTTGGTGTTACCGTTGAGTCATCGTAATTTTTCAAAAGTTATGAAGGGTAGCTTCAACAAAATTAGCGCGGCTCTATGAAAATGACAAATCTACAGTAATACTAAAAATATGTATATATAAGCTAGACATTTTGTACTCACAAAAGGGGTTTATAATACACTCCTCGGTCAAATATAAGAAAAAGAAATTCAAAGATCTTAAATATAAACAAATGTTATTATTTCAAATACATTCTTTTTTTTTTTTTTTTTTACAATTCTATATTTTTAATCAAAGTAAAAAAGTAGAGGTAAAACGAGAAGGATTATAAGATCTGCATTTAAATATTTTCTTAAAGGGCGATATTTTTTTATTTTTAAAATTGTTTATAAATAAGATTGGATGGAGTATTAATTACTCAACTATTTGAAATTAAACCATGAAAATTAATGTTAATAAGGAGTATAATGGTTTAGTTTCCGAAGAAAACTAGTGAATTCTTGTGTGATGGTTTAATTTCGTAAAAAAACTAGTGGAATGTTTGTGCTATGACACGCGTATTGGCCGGGGAATTAAATTATTGTTGAAAAAAAGTTGATCGAATATTAGAAGTATGAAGAAAAAAATAATTATGCTATTGAAAGTAATTAATTTTAGAGATATTAAACTGAGTTGGAATAAAAGTTAGAAAATTAAAAAAATTTGAAATGTAGAGAAACAGTTGGGTAACAGAAAAAAAAAAGTAAAATAAAGTAATATTAAATAATGATATTAAGAGTGGAAGTTGAAAAAGGGGCAAAGAATATGGAACATGTGAAATTGGAGAAAGTGAAATTTAGTGATAGACATGGATAATGTAATGAATTTGGATATATATATATATATATCCTGTTATTTCTCATGTTTTTAATTTAACGGTTCATAATTTATAATAAATAATTAAATAAAAAAAGTTATTTAATAAAAGAGAAAAATGGATAAATAATTTATCTTTGTTAAATAATTTTTTTATTTAATTATTTATTATAAATTTTGAAACCTTAGATTAAAAATATGAGAGATGATAAAATATATAAAATAGAAGAGGATTCAAATTCTATTTTTTATAACTTTGATTGGGTATTTTTATTTAATTATTTATTTTAAAATTTTGGATGACTATAAATTTTTGAGTTCCTGTTTTTTAAGCCAAAAACGTGTGGGTTAGATTTTTGTTAAGAAATCAATAAATTTGTTTTATTATTATTATTATTATTAATCAAAAAGATTTGATTTGCTATTTTTTAGCAAAGTAGGTTAATTTGACTTGTTATGTTTCGGATTAATTTTATATAGAAATGATTGAATTTATTATTGTTTATTAGAAATATTTGTTTTGTTATTATTTTTATTGCGTGTATTTTTTTCAATATCAATACATTTATTTACTTTTATTATTGATTAAAACTATGTGGCCTCTTATGTTTATTTAATGGTGTAGATTTTTACTCTTTATTAGATTGAAAGTTTGTTTCACATTTAACCTAATCTTTACTGTTTAAATAGTGACGGAATCTATATTCCATCAACGTGAAAAGAAAGAAGACAAGTTCACAAATCACTCTTTCTCGTCACTAAGATGAAGAAGAAAACGTTTATGGCACCGCTTCTTGGTAGGAAAAAGACTATGAAAAAGAAGAAGAGAATTTGTGTGAAATCTGTTCAACAACAACAAGAGCAATCTCTTTCAGAACCTGAATTTTACTTGCCAGAAGATTGCTGGGAGCATGTCTTCTCATTCATCATCAATCCACTCGACGACGGATCCCAACGCATCAAATCCCTATCTCTCGTCTCAAAACAGTTCCTCTCCATCACCAACCGTCTCCTATTCTCTCTCCGAATTTATCATCCACAACTTTGTTTTCTCTATCGTTTCTTCCATAGATTCTCCAACCTTAATTCCCTTGACCTCTGGTTCAGCTCCCGTGATCTCCATCCAGACTTTGCTTTGGCCCTCCGTGACAGACCATTATTGAAATCTTTATCTATTTTCGGGATTGACCTAAAGGATCCAAACTATGTTACTTCACAGTATATTGATTCCTTTGTGAGTTTGAAGGGTTTGATTTCTCTTAAGTTTCATTGTTCTCAAATCTCCGATGATTTGCTCTACTCTTTTGCAAGACAAGGTCTTTCTTTCAAGAGTTTTGCTCTTAAAAATTGTACGGGCTATAATTACCCAGGAATTTATGGTTTATTATCTAAGTGCGGTGCGATACAACATTTGAGTCTAAAACGTGTTGACTTTCTAAATAATCATCATGTTTTCCAGCTCTCTTTGCTTCTTCCCGGTTTGATATCTATAAACCTTAGCCAAAATGACAACCTCACTGAATTAGCTTTATTTGCCCTCATTAAGAATTGTCATTCACTTAATAAGATCACAATGAGAAGCATATATAATATTGGAAGAGAGAGTGTAGAAAATTCTGATATTATCAAGGATTTTAATGTCAACCCTCAATTAAAGTTTCTACATTTTTTTAACAATTTTTTTATAAAAGACGAGATCCTCATATTGTTTGCTTTGATTTTTCCTAATTTGCAGCTTCTCGATTTAACTTTTTGTGATCAGATATCTAAAAAAGGTATTTGTCAAGTTTTAAGTAGATGTTATGAGCTTAGACATCTAAACTTGGACTCTTGTTATCGTGTGAGAGGATTTAAAATGAATTTTACAGTTCACCAGTTAGAGGTGTTGGATTTAACTAATACAAATGTTGATGATAAAACACTCTATGCGATCTCAAAGAGTTGTTTTGGACTTCTGAAACTATTATTGACATTTTGCGATTACGTCACGGAAAAGGGAGTGATACATGTGGTTAAAAACTGCACGCAACTGAAAGAGATCTATTTGATATTGTGTCATAAAGTGAATGTTAATGTCATTGTCTCAACGTTTTCATCAAGGCCATCGTTACGTGTGTTTTCATGAATGCCATCATTACATGTGTTGGGATAAAGTGAATGCTGAAATTGATATCTCAATGCTTTCATCAAGGTCATCATTAAAAAAAACAAAACCACTCCACATCATTTTTGTTTTAGTGACATAAAAAAAACTCTTTTTTGTTAGGGTTGCCTTTTGCTAGGTATGAATGTATTATTTGTTGAAGTTTTGATTCTTAAATAAAAAATAGTTTTTGTTTTTAGATTTGTTTTGATTTCGAAATATTGATTATTTAATATAAGATGTTTTTTTTTTTTTTAAATTTGTTTAAATGAGATGACTTAATTTTTATAATGCTACTGTAACTTACAAATATGTAATTGTCATTTTGATCATTTAAACATAGTTAAATTCTTACACGAAGTTTTAAATTTTGATTTTTTTTTTACTCTGACGTAGTGATATGGTCTAACATACTCTACTCTCTAGCATTTACTATAATGAGTTTTAAATATGTAATACATTTTTTTTAAATACTTAATATCATCGGTCTCTCTTTCTCTATGTTGTTCACTTAAAAAGTCATTTAATGATAATCATATTTGTTACTGCGACTATTTTGTTTGAGTATAGGATGTCCAAGAATTCTCTTTGGGTATGTATCCAAATTTTTTAAATTGTAGAGATAATATATGTGCCAATCATTCAATGGATTGTGTACCTGGAGCCAACTGAAGTGCAGGTTGAATTTTTAGAGCTTAGCTGCCGTGCCAAAATCTGAATCCAGTAGTATATTATTTAGTGTGATATCTTTGCGCACGATTGGTGGAGAACAATCACTTCATAGGTAAGCAATTGCATGTGCTAATCCTTGCACAATTTCCACCCTCGCACCCCAATTTAGCTCCAATTTTTCTTCTTTACCATACAAAATTTTCCCCAAACTTCCTCTATCTACATGTTCATAAACCAGGAACATTTCTTCCCTCATTGTACAAAAACCATAAAGCTTTATTATATTCCTGTACCTCACTTATGTAAGTGCTCCTATCTCATTCATGACGCTCATGTGATTCACTTTTGATATGTTGAATCTTTTCACAGCAATAACTTGACCTCTAGGTAAATCTTCTCTATTAGCACTTCCAAATCCTCCTATTCCAATGCAATATTTTTCATTGAAGTCATTGGTTGCTGTCGCAATATCAGAAGATGTGAATTTTCCATCTCTTTAATGCCTCTGTATTCTTCACTAAGTTTCTTGGCTTTCCTTTGAAATAGCAGGATTCCAACACATTAGATCCCTATAAATAATACTCCACCAACTGATATAGTACCACCAAGAAGTAATTTTTTGTTGGGACAAAACTTTGGCACATGTTAATCCATTTACATCACCACACAAACCTGAGTTCCCAACAAAAACTTCAGCACTTTTATTCTGGAAGACGGCACCAGTTGGTATTGAACCTGACAAATGGTTGTAAGAGAAGTCCACAGATTGAAAGCTGGGCATACTTGAAAAAGATTGTGGGATTGTTCCAGATAGATTGTTGTGTGAAACATTGAGAATTTCCAAACTATCGTCAGTGAATTCATTTTCTTCCAAACCAAGATAAGTTAAGGAAGACATGCTTGAGTATTGATAGGGAATGGTGGTACCATTGAGATTGTTGTCGCAAAAACTAATTAGTGAGCTGATAGGGAATGGTGGTACCATTGAGATTGTTGTCGGAAAAACTAACGTGTTGAAGTTCCCTTAGCTGGCCTAACTCAGAAGGGAGTGTATCTTCAACTAAGCTGTGTCTCAAGTCCAAGAAACTGAGTTTGGAGAGGTTGCCAATTGTTGATGGTATTGATCCACCAAACCTATTTCCATTGAGGTTGAGGAAGGTAAGGTTTGGAATTAAAATCCAATCAGCGAGTTTTCCGTTGGCATTAGACAAGATTATCTTTGAGACAGTTATATGTGTGCTGTCACAAACGACAGGATACCAATTGCAAAGGTTAATATGGTTGGTGAATGGTGAATGACCATGAAGGAAGAGGTGGTGATGACCATGAATGTGCTTAGGAAGTGCGAAACACATGCTAACGTTAGAATCCAACTAGGAATTCAAATAAAGTCTATGTGACAAGTTGATTTTTGTTTTTGTTTATATTTCATGTTCTCTACCGCTCCAAATATCTTGCTTTAAACAGTGTCTAATATATTTGTAAAAGAAAAAGTGTCTTAAAAATAGATGATAAAGATTGCATATCAAAACACAAATTTAGAAATCAACCAAGAATTCGTTAAAACAAAGTCTATCTTATAAAAGGCACAAATGTCATAGTGATGGTATTAAAGTGTTCCGTTATTAATGGTGATGATGATTGGTTGAATTCATCATTTTGATGTTAATATTTTCTACATACAAACAAATAACCAGCATGGCTTGCGATAGTTATCACCGTACTCACTCTATGTGCTAAGAATAATCTCTTCTTTTTTTATATCAAAAGAAAAATTTATATTCTAAAATATTGTAAATTAGGATGCCTTAATAAAATATATTCGATTTTTTAATGATAAAAAACATACAAGAGTTAGGGTTTAAAAAAAAAAAAACAAAAATTGGTTATAACTGTTATTCTTTACTTTCTCTATAAAACATATTACAAATACTCAAGAATAATAAATAATCCTCTCACCCTAATTAGGTTTTGTCACACCACTTAAAATGAGAGATTAGTATGTTATTTATAATAAAACCTAATATACTAAACTAATGAGATTTTTTTAACAATTATCCATTACAAGCTAACTTAAGGTACAAGTTAACTTAAATAATTGGATCCTTAACACAATGTTCAATTGACAATTATATACTAGAACACAATTTGAGTATAGCATGTAGGTCTTCGACAACAGCATGCGGGCAAACTTCGACGACATGCTAACTAGAGCTCGATCTAATATCTCTCAAATCTCCACCTTGGATCTAACTCTGCCATCAAGAAACAAACTAGCTTTCTTCACACAGCTTTATCAACTACATACAGTGGAAAAACTTGCAACTGAGCAATGTCTTGGTGATCATATCAGCAGCATTATGATCTGTCGAAACTTTCAGCACTTGGACTTCTCCATGCTCGATTACCCCTCAGACGAAATACACCCTCATATCAATGTTCTTGGTTCGCTCATGATAGGATGAATTCTTCGACAAATGTATTGCACTTTGACTATCACATTTAACAGTAACAACTCGACCTTGAAGTTTTAGCTCCTTTGCAAAATCTTCAAAGCACAATGCTTCCTTCACAACTTCAGTTAGGGCGACATACTCCGCTTCAGTGGTTGATAAGGCAACAACCTTCTGAAGTGTTGCTTTCCAACTGATTGTCGTGCCAAACATATTGAACACATATCCAGAAAAAGATTTTCTGGAATCCATACAACATGCATAATCTGAGTCGACATATCCTTTGATTGCTGCTTTACTGTCTTCACCCAAGGCTCCACCATAAATTAGGACTCTGTTTAGAGACCCATTTATGTACCTTAGAATCCACTTTAATGTTTGCCAGTGAGCCTTTCTAGAATTCAACATGTACTTGCTTACAAGACTTACTGCATATGCTATGTCGGGTCTAGTACATACCATAACATACATCAATGAACCCACTATATTAGCATATGCAATGCTATTTATTTAAGCTCTTTCGACATCAGTACTGGGACACTGATGTATACTCAACTTAAATTGAGGGTTTTTCAGAGTCACAACAGGCTTTGAATTTTTTGACATACCAAACTTTTCGAGAATCTTTCATAGGTATGCCTCTTGAGATAAACGTGATTTCGACTGCTTTCTATCTCTTCAGATGTCAATCCCAAGAATCCTACACGCATCTCCTAGATCCTTCATGTCGAACTCCTTATTGAGTTCAACCTTCACCCTCATTACATCTTCGACATTGTTGCTTGCTATTAGAATATCATCCACATAAAACAACAAAATAACAAATGAATTACTAGGTCAAAATCTAAAGTAAACATAGTGGTCGAACTAACTTCTAATGAAACTTATGCCTGACATGAACTTGTCGAATCTCCTATTCCACTGTCGAGGAGATTGTTTCAGTCCATATAAAGATCTCTTCAGCTTGCACACATAATCTTCCTTCCCCTTTTCGACATACCTTTCAAGTTTCCTCATCAGGATTCTTTCATGTAGATTATCATACAAAAATGCAGTCTTCACATCCATCTGTTCCAGTTTAAGGTCGAAATGTGCCACCGTGGCAAGCAAAACTCGAATGGATTTGTGCTTTACAATATGAGAGAACACATCATTGAAGTCGACACCTAATTTTCGAGTGAAACCCATATCGACCAATCTTGCCTTGTATATTTTTGACGCCACTTCTTCGATTCCTTCATTAACTTTGGAAATCCATTTACAACTGACTAACCTTGCTCTAGCAAATTTATTGATCAGTACCCAGGTATTGTTATCAAGAAGATATTTCATCTCATCATCCACGACCTTCATCCATTCAGTCTTCTTTTGACTCCTCATAACTTCCTTATAATCCCTAGGTTCTTCGTCGAAAACCTTACTTGCGGAGATTAAGGCATAAGCTATAAGATCTGCATACCCAAGTCTCTAAGGTAGCTTGATGAATCTCCTCGACCTGTATCTTGCTAGCAGGTATTAAATATCAGTCTCCTCATATTTGACAGCAGCTTCTACTTCTTCTTCGACTTCATTTGGGGTATATAATTCAGCATCGACATGCTCCACCTCAACAGGAATCTCTCCCTAGTCTAGCTTTTCATCAGCATCATCAGTTTTCTTGAAAGCCATATATGCTTCATTAAAAACTATATCTCGACTGGTGATACACCTCCCGTGATCTATGTAACGCCCTGATACTGATTTCCTATTTTGTTGAGTCTTTTAATTAATTGAATGGTCATTTTATTTATGGAATTAGAATATTAATATGTTATGTGTGCATATTGTGATATTTTATTATTTGGAGAGATTTTGGGA